TTATACAAAGGCAATTTGCACAGGAAAATGTTTGTTAAGGAAAAACAATATGTCAACTGTTTTTCTACCCCAAAGTTATAATAATAGCCTGGATAATTTGAATGCAAATAAGTTTTTCTTTATATAGATAATAGATATAAATTTCATTTGCCTGTGGCTATACAAGTCTGACATTAATCTATTAAATAATTTTCTTAGAACTCTATAAATATATAGGTGATGTAAATTGGCCAAAGGCTTCTTTTTCTTCATAAATTAAAAACAGACTTTTTAAAAATCTAGGTAGTATACCTTGGATACCTCACACCGTACCATCATCCCTATTAGATTATTATTATTATTCAAATTCAATAGTGGATTGATTAGGTCTTGTGTACAGCAGGATAATTCATTCACAATGGTTTTTAATAGTTAAAATATTGTTTTAATTTTATAGACTTCCTGTTTGCTTTTAGGAATCTGGCAAGAAGCTAGGCAATCCAGAAATGTTTTTAAGGATGTATGATGGAAAGACTGTATAGTATGAAGGAAAGACTTAGAGAAACAACACTGGGGGGGGAGGGGGTTAAAAATGGTCTGGTAACCACCCACACACCCCTGATGTTCAGAGAAGGCTTCTTTAATACTTTTCTTCCAGCTGAATTTGCTGCTTAAGGAAGTCTGTGGGTAGATAAGGAACTATTATCCCTCCCACTAACACCCGTTTCTTATTTACTACACTGAATCTCTATATACCTAAGCACTCAAACACTAATCCCTTTTATTCAATCATTTATGCAAATTATTTAGAACTTGTTTCACATGCTACCTCCCTTTAGCTCACTTCACATTTAACTGTAGTTTATCATGATTTATGTTTTAGTTGTAAGTCCATCCAGAAAGGATACTTAATATAAATGACTTTCCAACTAAATATTTTTGTTGGGAAACAGTCCTCCATTCAAAAAATAAAACAAAACACAGTTCTTCTCTCCAGTAGGCTGGATATACTATTCATGTAATATTATTTTTTATATTGCCAGATTTCTTCCACACCAAAAGAAGAGGACATGGTCACTGAAATGTGAAGTACTAATTTTTAATATCTGTATACAATATTTGTTTTCTAGTCCCTACAAGTTACCTTTATGAATAAATGCACATTGGCTGATCATGTCAGAGACAGATGTTTATAAATGAAACATGTTTATCAATTTTATTAATAAAATTAATCATTTAAGAAGTTTCATTAGAAAGAACACATCAATAAAAATGTTTAAAGTACCTATAAAGTGCTTACAAACGAGTTAACATAAATTTTATGAAACCTTTATATCTATTTATTCGTAATAAAAAATGTTCCCTTGAATGCACTAAAAGACAGAGGTGTCCTTGTGAAAATGGGTTAAGCTTAAATTATTTTAAAAATAATCATGTCTAATCTTCATTCATTGAAAATATGGGCCAATCTAAGAAAAGTATAAATTGATGTATTTTGAGAAAGATTTTATCTTTGCAGTTTAGTAATATCATATCTGATAGTCACACAATTAAGTGTCTTGAAAATAATTTTTTTTCACTTTAACTATTCAGATCAATGAACTCTACTTGGGAATTACATTAATGTTCTGTTAAGTAAAAATTAGAAAATAAACATTAACCTTCCAAATTGCTTGCAAAAGTCATCTAATTATTAACTAAACACATTGTTGAGAATATGCTATAGACACTGGTTAGAACAAGGGCTAACTACAACTGTGATCAGCCAAACAACTACTATCAGCCAAACAACAGACTATTTAGTCTCTTCTCATTGATTCACAGGCCACTGCTACAAGCCAAATGATAGGTGAATTGAACTTTTGTATTTCACTCTAATCTCAATCATTAAGCTTTTTGGCACTTTATACAAAGAACTTAAGTAAAGTTAAAATTATTAGTATTCCAGAGCATAATAGCATGTAAACTAGAATAAAAAGAAATATGTTTTGTCTCTTAAACTATATCCAGTTAAAAGTAAATATACATGATTAAATTTTTCTGAACAGCAATTATTTTAAAAAAACAAAAACAAACTAATAAAAAACCCTCAGAATTAAGCCACCTGCCAGTGGCTCATGCCTGAAACCTGTAATCTTAGACACTCAGGAGGCTCAGATCCGAGGATCACTGTTCAAAGCCAGCCTAGTCAGGAAAGTTCATGAGACTCTTATCTCCACTAAACTACCAAATAATAATAATAATAATAATCAGAAGAAGGAGAAGGAGGAGAGGGAGAAAGAGAAGAAGAAGAAATAAGAAGAAGAAGAAGAAGAAGAAGAAGAAGAAGAAGAAGAAGAAGAAGAAGAAGAAGAAGAAGCAGCAGCAGCAGCAGCAGCAGCTGAGAAGATGAGCTGTAGCTCAGATGGTAGAATGCTAGCCTTGAGCAAAAATTGTTCAGAGACAGTGCTCAGGCCCTTAGTTCAAGCACAAGACTTGCACAAAACAAAAAAATAAAGCCCAAAACCACAACAAAGAACACCTGAAAATTAGATGAATTACATGCTCTATTGCATGGATTATGTGCTCTAACATTTTCCTAAAGTAAATATATCATAAGAAGTTATTTTTTTTACTCTAGGTTAATATAAATCATGTACAATTGAAAAGAAGAATAAAAATTTGAAAGAAAAAGGAAATGAAAACAGGCAAAGAGAAGTTTCCAACTGATCTTTGCATCTCCCAGCTTACAAAGTAAGTTATTAATGTTATTTCTTACATTAAATAAAATCCTGGCATTTATTCAGATCAGAGGATAACATAATGATGCAAAGATTTCAATCTCGAATGCAATAAGAAAGGGTGAGTTTTATTTCACATTCATTTGCATGTGTGAATAACAATGAATACAAACTAGAAACAAGTATTAAAAAGAGATACCACATCTTACTTACAAAGTAAAAAGAAATATATTGTGTGATAGGAGATGCAAGAAGAAAAAAATTGGTGAAAAAATAGCTATTCTCTTTTCTATGGATTGGTTTGTTTTTGGTGTTAGAAAATGAACATTATTTGTTGAGTGTACCCTGGATCATTTCAGTCTCAGCACTCTATCTATCAATTTAATCTACACATAAAACCATACTGCTAGAAAGCATACAGACTTTTGCATACTTCCTTACAAAAACAACCTCTTTTTTGGGGGTGGGGTGTCCAGTCATGGGCCTGAACTCTGGGCCTGGGTGCTGTCCCTCAGCTCTTCAACTCAAGGCTAGCGCTCTACCACTTGAGCCACAGTGACACTTCTGGCTTTTTTTTTCTGCTTATGTGGTGCTGAGGAATTGAACCCAGGGCCTCAGGCATGCAAGGCAAGTGCTCTACCACTGAGCCACCTTCCCAGCCCAGCAACCTCTTAAATGAACTGATTTCATGATATTCTAATGATAAAATTTGCTCAAGGACACCTTTCCTTGCTGGACATCTGTGGCTCATGCCTATAATCCTAGCTACTCAGGAGGCTGATATTTGACAATCATGGTTTGAAGCCAGACCAGGAAGAAAAGTCCATGAGACTTATCTCTAATTAACCACCAAAATTCTGGAAGTGGAAATGTGGCTCAAGTGATAGAGTGCTAGTCTTGAGCAAAAAGCTCAGGAACAGCTCCCAGGTCCTAAGTTCAAGTCCCAGTACCAGCAACCCCTTCCTCCCCCATCCTCCACATAGATGCCACAGATGCCTTTTTATGTTTTATTTGTTCTACAGGCTCTTCTCAAAGCTTCAAATAAGTTTTATTGAGAAGACCATATTATCCAACCCAGGGGTGGGGAGCAACTTAGTTTAATTTTTTTTTACAATGGTATTTACAAGTAAAGACCATTCAAACACCAAGGAAAAGATCCTCCGTCTTAAAATACATCCTACACTTGTTCTTTACTGTTCAGTTTTAGCCTTTATAGGAAAAAATATGCTCCCCTACCCTGCTGTAATTGTATTATTTTGTTGTAGTCTATTTGAATTAGTTCAGCTTTTCATTACATAAGGAGACTTGAGAAATCCTTCAACTTTCTCCAACTAGATAAATTGTGCACTAAAATTCTGCCTTTACTGAACTCAAAGCCTTCCTGTACTTATCTTTAATCAAATTCAGCATTTAAGAACGAAAATTATTTTGGACAACATTGGCTGACATCTGTAATTCTAGCTCCTCAGGAGGCTGAGATTTGAGGATTTGGGTTTTAAACCAGCCTGAGCAAATCCAAAAGACTCCTATCTCCAGCCTACCAGCAAAAAGCCAGAAATCAAGATGTGGGTTAGGTGGTAAAGCTAAAAGAGCTAAGCTCGACCAACAGTCTGTGAATTCAGGCCCAACTACCTCAACAAAAATAAAAACCAAACAACAACAAAACCCAGAACAACAACCACAACAAAAATCAATGAAAATTACCTTGTAATCACAAGGCACTGTGTTTAAACCCCAGGAATGCAAAAATAAGACAATAAATAAATAGAAATAAAAATCTATCAGTAAAGATTCTTATTTTCATTGGCTTAAATTCTGTCATTTTTCTACTTTTATGAATTTAACTTCCTTCACTTTAAAATTAAAAATGTTATATCTAAGACTATCTGTACAATAGGTTTGTATGTGTTAATGTTAATACCTGGTAATTGAGGGTAGTGTTGAATATTTTTAGAACTCAGTATTTCAATTATTTCCATATGAATTCTGTCCACCCAGACAAGTTGCAAAGTTTCTGTTAAGAAGTTTGGAAATTATGTATATTTATCTCAAAGGTAACATGTATAGTCCAAAGTTCATAAACAAAGAAAATGAAATGGAGCTAAAGTATGATTCACAAACAGGCCAAATCATTTGTGTGATATAAACCTCAACTAAATAAAATATCTTTCTAATTTTTCTCCTTTCCAGAAATATAAAATATGACTTTACCTTAGATAACTAAATAGAAAAATATGTACGTAAATATCAATAATACTATTACCCTCAAATATAGTAAACATATAAATAAACAATTCCTACCTCCATCTCCAGATCCTGATCCTGCATCTGGGAAAGAAAATAAAAACAGAACTTGTATTTGCTTGAAAAATACATAAAAGGATATATAAAATAAAAGATCAAATTTACTTTTTAAGACTATAATGTTATTGCTTTGAAAATAATTAATGTTAATCTAATAATACATTGTCATATCAATTTTACATAGTAAATAAAATAAATTAATTATAATTTTTAAACTTTACAAAATAAATATTATCCAGTTCCCTTTTTGGAAAAATTTCTCAACTTGAGTGTACAAAGTTCCCTGTTTGTTTTAATCAAGCTATATTTAGAAACTTCAACAAAAAAATTAAAAATGAGATTCACTTAATAATCAGTATATTTTGCATATGAAATAGATTAAGATTAAGGTGCATATTCTTACAAAATACATATGAACAATGATATAAGTTTTAAATATTCTAATAAAACTCATATTATGTATACAAATACCACAAATACTGATGATTAAATCCTTGCTGTTCAAATGAGAATCAGCTTAGCTTTTGCATTTGTACTTAAAATGAACAGACATTATCAGAAAAAATATGTTCTGCTTTAAATTTCTCTTTCTCTACTTCTCCCCTCGCTTCCATGTAACTACAAATGATCAAAGTTGTCTGATTCTGAAAGCTCAGTTTCAGGAAACACTAATTTTCCTAGTTTGAATGAAGACCACTGAGTTTCCATCTGCTACAATGTGATGTCAACATCATCTTCCCTCTAAATACATTTGTTACACACCTTTAATGTTACTACTGGGAAATACATCTAATCCTGGTATTCTCTGCCTGAAGTATCATCATCCTACATTGACATCTATACCAGAGCTCAAAACATCTATGACACCACCTTTATGGGCTTGTATTACATGTTTTAGTCCAATTAAAATAAATCACTTCTACTTGTTTGGCTCCATGATGCATTATTGTGATACTACACAGAAAGTAGCATGGGATATGAAATTTCACAGGAGGCTGACACCTGGGGGAATGGAGTTCTCCCCAATAGTAGACTCTCTTCTTTTATAACATTAAACTATTGTGAAAGAGTAAATTGTCAGTCTTGGTGATGATTCATATCAACTAAATTTCCAGGATCTAACATGTCAATCTATTATTAATTAGCTGCTACAGGGAGTATATATATATATATATATATATATGTATGTATGTATGTATATATAATATGGTATATATGTTTACTTACAGGCAACTAAATAGTAAAACAATTACCATTAAAATATTTTTGCACATATAGAATCAAACATTTCAATCATATGATTTGCCATTTTAATTATAACAGATCATAAAAGTCTTACACATTCATTTTCATCATAGGAGAATATTCCAGAGAAGTAGACTGAGGACTATAAGTTATAGCATAGAACAAGGCCTGAATTGTTGCTAGGTTTCCTTTCAGTTTATTTTCACAGCTAAAATTTTAATTGATTTTATCTGAAAGGTTAATTCAATACTACTTGCATTTCTCAGGTGCTAAATCACAAGTTGTAATATCATATTGTTAGCTAAATACATACAGGTCTTCATTTCCTACTAAAATAATTAACTTCTATATGTCAAGGACAGTGTTTGGACATAGGCAACCTGCATAAAAACTTGTGGGTTCCAACCAGGAAATCTTACTCAATGGCTGACAAAAGAAATGTTCAGAGTTCCTAAGCTTATTTTTCTTTTATTTAATGAATATCATATACTACCTATCTCATTGGGCTATTCCGATGCCTTCTGCCCAATAATTTATTTCAAATGCATAATTCTATCTGGAAAACAATAATTAAGATGATGAAAAATGTCATGCTTCTTCATGCTTTTGGTTTCTAATAAATGAATATGGCCCATGGGAAAAGGAAAAGATGGTGATATTATTTTGTTTTTTATTTCCTACATATACTTCTAAGTATTCTAAGGACACAGTCTTTAAGACAATTAGTATTTTGTTTAACCCAAATTTAATGGCTAGGGAAGAAAAATATATTGGGAAAATGGTTACTGAAGTGAACGACATCACTACAGAAGAGTTTGGGAAACTTTGATGTTTTCTCAACGATGAAATGACTCATCTTGGCATATCAGAGAAAGAAGCCTACTAAAATCCCAGTAAGACAGAAATAACTCAGAGAAGATGTTAGAGTATTGGACCTGAATCTGGGTGTGAAGTCAATGCTTTTCTTACAAGGAAAGGAGTTAAATTGACACTGACCATATTGAGGAGACTACCCAGGAGTAACAATTTTCTGATGATTTGTAAGTCCAATGACATGCCACAAAAATAAAATTAGGATTCTGTATGGCTTTTTATTCCTAGAGATCACAATTTAACACCTGTACTCATTGTCAAACATCATTAAACAGAAACAGAAAAAATGTCTGAAAAATAAGAATCCCTTTTATATAAAAATTCAATTCAATAAAAATGCAATTTATTTACAATCTGACCTCTTTGATGAAAATTATTTTGGTAAATCCATCATCATTCATATCAGAAATCTTTTAAGTTTACTGGTTTATAGAAGCAAAACTGGCTTACTACTTATATCTTGTAGTAATATAAGTATGGAAATGAGCTAAGGACAGGTTCTTCACTTCTGATACAATTTATACTTGGGTAAGTATTTATTTTCATAGCGTGACAGCTTATTACGTACTAGAATGAAAGAATTTGAGTGAATCAGGAGAAGACACAAAGACCCAAGAGAAAACACAAACTTGGTTGTTGGAGTAAGAAAATGGTTTCTTACTGCGAAATGTCATTCGCAATAACCATAACTCTTGTGAGCTTTTCCAAGATTCTGTTTCTATTCTTCATTTTTGTTCCTTTGGATGTCTGAGTAATTTTTTTTTCATAATTAGTTTCTTTCTTAGTGCTCCCTTTGTTTTCCTCATTCTGACTCTGCAAGTAGCAGGTTCATCTTCCTTCTTTTCTCCTGGGAAAACCTATGTAATGACTCACCCATTATACTGTCACATTTCCTCGTTACTTCTTACCCAAGATCAAGCAGCAATGACCTGCTTGTGCTAGCAAATAAGAAGCAAGTGGCACACAATCTTGTTCTCCTCCTGACTACTCTCCCAGAAAGAGCATTCATACCCTGAGGCCAAGAATCATTTAGGATGAAAGACCACTAAACAACCAACACAAGCAACAATGCCTAAATCCCTGCCTGCAATAAATGGCACTAATTCTCTGTGGCTCATTTTTAGAAATACAAATAGGCAACAATCCATTTTGGAATATTACTTGTTGCTAATAGCCAATAGTCTAAAGATAATTTCAAGGAATATGAGACTCTTCTCTTTGCTCATTTTCTAACCTACCCAAACCATCAAATGCATACTTTTTATATAATACTCTAAAATAGACATAAAGTTATCTCAGGGAGATTTGAGTCAAATAAACTTTCCCAGACACTAATCTCTCTTTCTAGTCTTGAAAGAAATGTATATACTTTCCTGAATATGATTATATCACTCAAATGCTCAGAAATGATGACTTTCTATGAAGATGCTTACGTGCTATTAAGTGTAACTTTCATGAGGCACAGAAGTTCCTTTACCATAAGTGATAGTGATATCTCAATCTACCATCAAAATGAAGCTCCATTTTATACTTTATCCAGCTGGGCTGTATCACTCTTGGTGTTATTCTGCCTGTAATGCTACTAAGCTGTAATAACCACAGCGCATGAAAGGAAAACCTCAAAAACTAATGAGCATATAAACTCACTTTCCCTCCTTTCTTTACAGCATTCTGGAATCAAACACCCATGTTAACTGTAAGATTGGACAGGTGTTAGTATAAATCATGTCTGCTATCACTGCATTCTTCAATACAGTTTGCTAAATGGTAACATAACTATTTTGTAGTTATAATTTTAGATTTTAACTTCAGAACTCAAATCTGCAAAACTAACTTCCAGCATATAATTCTCCCTTTCACAATAAACTTGATCAATGATATATATATATATATATATGATATATGAGCAGTCAACATTTCTAGTTACATTTTATTAAAATGTTTGTATTTATTGAACAGCACATATATATATATATATGTGTGTATATATATATGTGTGTGTGTGTGTGTTTATAAACGTATATAACAGTACCCTTAAGGTGCATTTTCTCTTCTATAACTGATGGTGAAAAAAGAATAAAATGAAATAATGAATGGTTTGAACAAAAGAATTAGTAGATACTCTAGAAAATATATAGTCTGGATATTTATTTGGAGAGAGCTAAATAGAAAAAGCAAGCCATGATTTCTGGATTCAAAATATACTCAGAAGGTTTCAAACAGAACCAGTTACTTACCTGTGGCACAGGATCCTTCAGAAACTACGAGTATTTCACTCTGCTGTTTGCATGCAGCCTGACGCAGGTAACACTCATTCTGGTAGCTCTCCCCATTGGAGCCACACACAGGCACATAGTCACTGTTGCACTGGGAAACAAAGAGGTATAAACCTATGGTTATTTTCATAGTCTGTATTATTTTGACATTCCAAGCACAAATAATCATCAGCACACAAACTGTATATCTTCTATTTCAGTCATCCCCTTCGTATCATGTAAGATTGTGATCTTGTAAGTGCATCATTTAACTAGACAACATGTTGGAAAGGAACTTTACAACTTGGAGGGGGAGGGGAATCCGGGGAAGCAAAAGCAGGAGAAAACGAAAGAGGGGGTAACACTGTTTGAAAAGAAATGTACTCATTACCTTACTTATGTAACTGTAACCCCACTGTGCATCACCTTTACAATAAAATAAAATTAAAAAAATAAAGATACAAGCAGACAATGTCAATCAGCCAGCATATCATTTGCTATAGAAAGAGGTAATAAATGTATCTAAATTGATGAAATGATTGCAACAAAGTGACTGAATAAGTAGCACATATTAAATATACTAATAAATTTATAACTTATTTATTATCTGTTATTTTGATAGCATAAATCTACCAAACATGATAAACCATAATCCCAAATACAGTAGAATGTTGAAGTCATTCCAAACAAGACTAACAGGTTTGGAGAAACATGTAAGTAAAATGCTCCCCTTCTCCAATACAGGTACTGCTTGGTTATCATTTTCTGCTTAATTTTGATCTGCACACATTTTTTGAATATTCATAAAAGAAGCTGATTTATAAATGACTTTTTTACTTATCTTCAAAGCAGGCTAAAAAACAAAACAAGAATATATAGATATAATTCTACAACTACTAAATTGTATGTCTGCTTTACTGCACATTCAAAAGTGACTATTAGTACATATTTTAGAATGAGAAAAATGGATTAAAAATATCCTCATTAAAAAGTACACATTTTTACAATGGAAATTAGGCAACCCACTGGGCATATTCAGGATAATATAATCACACTCTAAGGCATTAGAGATACTTGGCTGTGTCCTATACCTGCTAATTACACCAGGGATGTGATTAGCTCCTGATTACTACTACTGATGTACTTCATTGTTTAATTATAACAAATATAATGACCAAATTGAGTATTTGTAAATCCTTACTTATGCCAGAAACTAAGTAAATTGATGCATAGAGATACATGTGAACATAAAGTTCCTCCTTTCAACTTTTAATTAAAATAGTTGCACTTTTGAAATTCTGTAAATTTATATATATGTGTGTGTGTATGTGTGTCTGTCTGTCTGTCTGTGTCTCTCTCACTCTCTCTATCGCTCTATCTTAAGCCAATGATCCAGTGAGATTGCTGAGAAAGCTTCACATATAATTTTAAACCAAAAACTTATAAGTAAACCTCAACTCCAGGATTTATGAAAAAACTCTCAGAAGATAAGAATGTGATAGACTGAAAACCTGAAATGTATTCCTCTTATCTAATTTATTAAAATACCTAGACTGCTTTATTCCAGGCAGCTGTTTGGTTCTTTCTATTTTTGCCTAATAGTTCAGACATGTGTATATGACATTTCAAGATTCTCTGAAAATCTATGCATCTTGCTTTTCATCTACCACTAAATAATTAGTTTATTTTTGCTAATTATGATCTACTTTTTCTAAACAGCAAATTCAACTGTATGAAACTCATGGTAGTGGTAATTGCTAAGGTGACTTTTGTATATATTTTAGAAATACTCATCTTTATTTCTATAATAAATATTTATCTTTATTTCTATAATTTATAATCTAGATATCTGGATACTTTTTATATAATAATTCCATTCCCAAGTTATGTTATTTGTTTCCAAGCTCAGTCAGTTTACAAGATTATCCATAGAAACATTTGTTTCTTTTTCTGGTGCTATGTTTTGAAATCAAGCTCTTGGTCTTTCCCACCCTATTTTTTCAGTTGGTGCTCTACCACTTGAGTCATATCTCCAGACTTGATTTTTGCTGATTATTTTAAGGAATGACTCTCACAGATTTTTCTATGCAGTCTTATTTTAAACTACATACCTCTATATGGCAGCATTCTGAGTAACTAAGGACCACTGCTACCAATATAAAAATAGATTTGATTGTGTGTGTGTTTTGTAAATATTTCAATGATCTTTAACTAAATAAACAGCTTATTTTAAAATCAGGTGACACCTATATAAGGGATAGCTTTCAAAAGCTTTCCATAGAGATAAATATTGTTTGCTTGCATTTGAAAACTGACCTACCATAGGACAGAATGTTCTTAGTACTACTTAAGACAGAAGGCAACAGGAAAATGTCAAGTATGTGCAATACTTGCAAACATATGAATAAGAATGGACCTATTGCCATTAATGTTGGCCAGGGAAGCAAGTGAATGGATAAGTGCTCCAAAAAAATGCACTGTTCAGAACTTGGTACAAAAGAATGCTAAGAAGGCTTTGTAGAACTCATTAATACTCTAATAGTTTCCAAGCACATGGATGAGAGATCAGAAAGAAGGAAACATCTGCTAACATTATGGGCAATATATTGGTAAACTTCTCAGCAGACACATGAGAGTAAAATCTAGTTAAGTTCTCCTGCTTGGGCCTAGCTTCTTGCTCCTAGTTATTTTTTATTTAATTTTTTTTTTGTCGGTCGTGGGGCTTGAACTCTGGGCCTGGGCGCTGTCCCTCAGCTCTTCAGCTCAAGGCGAGCGCTTTACCACTTGAGCTACAGCGTCACTTCCAGCTCCTAGTTATTTTTTAATCTCCATCTCCAAATCCCAGTTGTGATATTTGATATACAATTATTTGAGCTTATATATTCTTTGTCCAACCCCTAAAATGTTTCTATTCATTCTTCTTATGTACTTCTACAGATTAATCAAGTGTAGAGTCTGTGGACTGCAAGTGGGAAGTGAGAAATATTATTACTTCTGTGAAGTCCTATTACACAATGCTTATATGCATCTTAAAATATCATATAAACTGATGAAGTGCTCATATGTCACTTCTGAGGGATGCAGTAAGCCAAATGTGAACAGTGTTAAAAGCAGAGCTGCCAAGTTCCATGCACAAGCCAAAAGGGGGATTTGTATAGAGCTGACAAGAGCTTAACCACAAATTACTGCCATGATGTTTTTGGCCCTGAGTACCCTGACTTGCAATCAATATGAATATCATAAAGAAGAAGCATAGCCTAAGACATTTAAGTTCAAGAGCAGAAGTCTAGTCTGAAGTTTGGGGGTTTATATCTATTTGTCTGTTTGTTTACTTGTTTGTTTTTGCCAGTCCTAGGGCTTGAAACTCAGGACCTGGATGCTCCCTGAGCCTCTTTGTGTTCAACTCTAGCCACAACACCACATCTGTTTTTTTCTCAGTAGCTTATTGCAGATAAGACTCTCATGTACTTTATTGCTTGGGCTGGCTTCGAACTGAGATCCTCAGATATAAGCCTCCTGAGTAGCGAAGATAATAAGCATGAGCCACAGGTGGCCAGCTGTTGGTTTTTGTTTTCGTAACTGTCTTGTCACAGCAAGGCAGTTGTGTGCTTGTGTGTATCACTCAAAATTTAACAAGTTTATAGCTTAGTTTCTCCTTTTGAAATAAATAGTTAATGGGCATAGTTGGGAATGAACAAATTCATACCTTTAAACATGAAGTGCTTTGGAAATATCACTTATAAAAAGTATAAATTATTTGGATTCCATGACATGAATTTCATCTAGCAGAGTCACCATTTACCATTAATTAAAACATGGCATTTCTAAAATTTAAATAAAAGAATAAAAGCAAAATAACCCTAAGCATTCAAACAGGTTAACTGCTGCATCAGAATATGCCTAGTTGTTGGAAATGGTTTATAGTGGTAATCAGTACACTTCTCAGTTTGAGAAGAAAAGGTAATATTAAGTGATTATTTTGGTAAAGGCCACATATTGGCTGGCTAATGAAAAAACAAGACTCAGACATAGATGGTTAGGCCCATGAAGTTATGTAATGTACATTTTGTGACTCTTTTTGCTTAAGATATTTTCAAAACTTTATAATTTATTTCCCAAATAGTTTTTTCAATAGAATTATTTTGTTCAAAAACTTCCACATTACCTAAGAAAGTAGAAATGTAACATACTAATGCATTCAGCAACTTGACATATTGTGATATATAGAATTCATTTTTGCTACGAAGAAATAAAAAAGGACATTAGAAGTTTTCCATATGCTTTATTGCTTATATGGTTAATAAGAATGTTTTTTAGCTGAGATCTCAGCATACAGAAGCTATGTATGACTTAACTTTTATATATTGTCGGCACCTTCTACGAAGTCTGGCATGTGGAAGGTGCTCAGCAGATGTTAAGTGAATTCTGTTATAATCCCAGTTGTCAAAGACTTAGGAAGAATGGCTTGTATATGGCAAATTTCTTTTCCAAAGATGAAAAAAAGATTAAAAAAATAACATTGCATATGTTGCAGTTATTTGACCATTCCACAAGTAACTTTTACTTTTGTGTGACAGAGTCCATTTCCTTAAATGTACATTTTTATGGCTTTAAAAGTGGGCAGGCCGCCGATGTGGTCAATGTGACTGTGCAATGTCTTGTGTTAGGATACAGCTTTTACCTGGCTCCTTCTCTTTCCTTCAGGGCCCAGAAAACTTTGTGACCCAGAAAACTCAAACTAGCCTGTACCAAAAGTGCATACATGAAAAGGAACCAAGATCCCCGCTGTAGTCAGACATGAGTTAGAGCCTAGAGATGAGTATAACACCAAATCTTTGATTTCCCTTTCCTTGCCCCTTAGCTGATGACAAAAGAGAGAAGATACGAGCTTTCTCCAAGAAGTTTTGTTCAATTGTAGATTCATGAATAAACAAGATATTCATTGTCTATTCTGGGCAACTTGTTATGCAGCCGTAGTAATTGCAACAGCTACAGATGTAAAGCAGGGCTCTTTAACGGAAAATATTTATCATTTATATTAAATAATGTCTGAAAAATATAAGGCTTCTTATTTTTTAAATTATAAGGCAATCATTGGTCATTGCATGATCAGCCTTATTAATTATGTATCTTCTTCTGTCTTTTCTATTTTACATTATTCTTTGTTTCTCCCCTTCCTATCTTATTTTATCCATCCCAGTTACAGATCTACCATTCCTAAATTTTATAACTGGATTTCATACCACTTGGTACACAGACAAGAAAGTAGGTTGCATGAAATTGCAGGATATTTTTGGTATTCATATTATCACCTAAAAATCAGTTTTACAATTTCAGTATCCCTTCTCTGAAATGTTTGGGACTAGAAGTATTTCAGATTTTGGAGTTTGAAAATTTTTCCATAAATTTCACAAATATGAAATCGAACATGCTTTAGAATACCAAGCATTTGGAGCATGATGTCAGATTTAAGAGTATTCTGGAATTTGGATTTCTGAATTATATATTCTCAACCTGTGTTGATTTGACTACTAAGTTACGTTTATAATAAATTAATCCTTTTGATGTGTTATTATTATAATTTACAATTATAATATCTTTAAAATATTTGACTTATTATCAAAATACCAGGTTCATACACTAGGATCACCACTTTATGGACCTGAATTCCTTCATTTTTAAGAGGAGAAGGAAGAGGGAAAAAAGAAGGAGAAAACAATTATTTAACCCAGTTGTAAGAAATAAATGAGTTAACCAGTTTGAAGAGTAGAAATCAGTTCAAATCATCTAAGTGACATTAAAGCATAGATGCATTTTAATGACTCAATAATAAATCAAACTGATCAAGACACTGATTCATATGTACGAATCCTAGATATTGAGGAGGGTGATGTCTAAGAATCAAGGTTCCAAGCTAACCCCTAGATAAATTTGAGAAACTCTTTTTTCCAATTAGCCAGAAAAACATCTGGAAGTTAAAGTCTGGTTCAAGTTGTAGAGCGCCAGCCATCAGTGAAAAAACTTCAAATATTGTATTGAAGCCCAAATATCAGCAATGGTAAAAACAACATCAACAACAACCTTCAACATAATCCAAATGAGAAGAAAATAGATTACATATGTTCATTACTTTTTGAAATCTGTCTCTCAGCCACAAAAACTTAAGATGTTTTTGAATTCATGCTTACATTTGAAAATGTGGGAGAAACAAATTTAGAATACTATGTAGGAAAATAAATGTCAAGATCTCTCTGACACAAAAACAGACACAAAGCTGGGTGTCAGTGGTTCATGCTTGTAATCCTAGCTACTCAAGAGGCTGAGATACGAGGTTCATGTCTCAAAGCCAGGAAGGGCAGGAAAGCCTAACAGACTTCTATCTCCAATTAATTACCAAGAAGATGGAAATGGCACTGTGGCTCAAAGTGGTAGAGCACTGCCTATGAGCACAAAAATGTAGGGACAGTGACCAGGTCCTGAATTCAAGCCCTGGGATCAGCAAAAAAAGAAAAGAGAAAAAGAAGGAAAGGATGCAAGGAAGGAAGGAAGGAAGGAAAGAAGGAAGGAAGGAAAGAAAGGGAAGAAAGAAAATCTCAGATTCATTAGAAAGTACTAGGAGAAGACTGAATCAAGAAACTTTTAGTTTATGATTATCTAGTATTCTTTATCCAACTTGTACATTTTATGTAATGTACAACTTAAATCAGACAGTCTGTCGGTTTGGTATATGCACCATACATTTTCTACTAAGGAAGTATTTTCTTGTACCAGATTGGCAACTATTGCAAAGTACATTAAGAGGATTAGAAATCCAGTAGTAAAGTTCAAATGCTACAAGGATTAGTAAAAGCAAATTCACATTTCAGTTGTGTTTCAAGCTTTTATTCATTGCTCCGTCTATTCTACCTCACATTTTTTGACAATTAACAACTGCTGACCAAGGAATGAATATACAAATAACTGCTGAGAAAATATTTTAGTAAATCTTCTGTGGCAGCTATGAATACAACACAGTTCTTTTTGTAAGAAAATTATACATTATCATTTATCCTTTTGAATGCAATCGTTCATTTAGAATTCTACCAATTATTCTTTCTCTCCTCTGAGTGGAGTCTTAAGAGTCATGTTTTTCCCTTTCAGGAATATTGTCCCTGATTCATTTTATACTGTTTATACACTCTGTGTCAACTCATGGTCATAAAATAAGAAAAAAATTATTGGAATCATAGAATTAAAGGGCAAGTTCCACAAAATACTGACAGCCTTTAATTAGGGACTGATATTTCCCTTAGTTAATATGTTAAGAAATAATAAATCCAGAAGTTTTCTTGCTCCATTTCTCTCATATCAGTCATTGAGAGAACACAAGTATATTATTAACTGTAGTGGAGACTTGGGAAAAGATGATGTCATTTGCATGTTTAATATACACCAATATGTTTCTAACATTATAACATGGTCTTAAAGACTGTGGTGAAGTTACAGGAATACCTACACACTAAATATGTACTTTATAAATGCCAGATGTTTTAAGGGAGAAAAATAACATTTATGAGAGTTTTGAGCTTAGAAAGAAGTAACTGAAGTCAACATTAAATATAAACTCCCTTTTATGTCTCCCTGTGATTTTGAATTCAAAATATAAAATATTTATTTTTTACCAATTCTTAGTAATACCTACTAAATCAAACATTTGAACTTGAGTTTGTTATAATTTGTTCAATAGTGTTTGTTCTTAAAGATCTTGGAAAGCATTTCTGATGTCCCATCCACAGATTTGTTTATATCAATATTTATTGGTTGAGTCTTATGCTAGATATCAAAGTTCACTTTAAAATTCAATTCAACATTCAAGGGTGAATAAGAGGTATTAGCGGAATGCTTATATGACTTGAAGAGATATATATGACCACATAGATATTTTGAGAGGAAAACAAGATTTATAATTTATATGGTAGAAAGCATTCATTAAATAATGACTATAACAAAAATATTTACGGTTTTGTCTCTAATAACCTAATAACCGATCTTTAATGATACCAGATTTGTAACCTCTCTTCTCTTTGTTCTAACTTTTTAAAAAATATAATTTATTGTTATCATTAACGTATTGCATAGTGGGGTTTCCATTTCATAAATCATGAATATACTTATAAGTTATGAGTACATTCCTTTTTTTGGACAATGACATCCTTTGCTTTGCATTCCCCCAACTTCCCCCTCCCATCCCTGCCCACAAGTTACATAGGTCATTTCTCACATAGTGTACACTGAATATTGCATTTGTTCCCCTCTCTCCCATCCCTTTCTTGCAACCCCCCTCTGACCTATGACATAAAAAACAAAAGTAAATACCAACAGACACAACAATAACAGCAAAAATGTTTTCACTTTTGAAATCATTATATTACAAAGTGCCTCTTCCCCATGTTCATGTTCATGACTTGCAGCTCTATATGCTCATTGGATTCCTAGGAGAGTTACTTTGTTTGACTCGTGTGTCCATGAACAAGTTCACATAGACTAATAAGGTCAATGATTTCTTCCAAACAAACACAGTAGTTGGGGAGTTGTCTAGATATGAAGTAATTTAAAAGTTTTAATCACATGATCAAGCTAATTAAGTCCCAAACCCATTAAAACAAAGACCAATGAGATCAAAAGATGAAAGCCCAAGTAAAAGTGAAACAAAATACAAATCCATCCTTAGTATCCATCAGTCATTTGACTATTATTAATCACCAGTTGACTTATGAAGTGTGTATTGGAAAAATCAAAGAAATGTTTTTTTTTTAGCCAACATCTCCAAAGCACAAACTGAAGCTTGCTACCTTCAGTGGTATTTATAACTATGGCACATATCTCCAAAAATGTGTATGTCTTCTTGCCATCAGCTGGCTCTCTTGCCAGTACTATTGTCTGGTGCCAGCTTTCCTCTTAGCTTGTATAGCTATAATATGCTGAAGGATGGGTTATAAAAGAGGAACTAGAAGAGGCAAATATCAGATATCTTACCTTGAACTGACAGACGCAAGTCACAGTGTCTCCAATTCTCAAACATTCCCCATCAAATTTACAGGTGTTGGTGTCACAAAGGAAGAGATCATTTTCTCTGTCATCGTAACCTCAAATTTGAAGAGAACACCCCAGTCATTAAAAATGTTATAATCTTAGCAAAACTGAACACTATCTTGAAGCATGAGAATAATTTCCCTAACTTTGGATTCCAACAACCATGGATGTTCTACCAAGACAGTCTCTACCTACCACCTAAAAAAATAATCTATCAAATTATAAATATTCATTTCCATTTTCAAATCGTTTTTTAGTCAATTTCTCCTTCTATATCCTCCTAGGTTGCTGCTATTTTCTTTTAGCTTTGGTTACTACTGACAGTGGTGAAAGAAAGTTTAACAGTTGCTCTCTAGTTTCTTTAATTTTACTCATTAAGTGGACTATGTTTAGGACTCACAAACTCAATATTTTGGCAAACACTGCTGAGAGCGTCTAAATTCCATTTGCCATGTAATTCTTCTTTGCTTCAAGGGTCAAACAATCCTTTATTTGGAATTTTTCCAGACAAAGAGGAAACAAAGCCCCAATAATAAAGATAAACAGACACAGTGTTTTCTGTGATGGTCTGTCTGGCTGAAATGAAGATTGATCACCTCTGCGTAAACAGGGGTGGGAGGTAGGGGTGACAAGTTCTGGACAATCTACCTTAGAAAGCCCATATACTTTTTTTTTTTAGTTTGCGCATATCCCTTTAAGATATGTAGCTAATAATGAATGTCTTGATTGTGAATGCTGGTTTCACACTTAAAATCTAGCAATTTCATAAAAGAATATTCTAATTAGCAATGATGCAAACTAGCCATGTTGGACTATAAAATCATCAACATTGAAACGATCAATTCAAGGATTGTTTAATGCTCTGATAATAATGCAATTAACAGGTGATTGGGTAAGCATATTCAAAATGAAACTTTTTCTTTAAAAAATAGCATACATGTGTGCATGAACCCAGAATTATAAAAAAAATGTTGAACTTTATAAAAATCCCCGATTTAGAAACTACTAAAAGCAGAATAAAAAGTTGATTTATTGGCTTAAATCTAATAGAGTTGCAAATCTTAAACTTGTCTTAAGAGGGATAAACTATAATGATGCATATTAATTATCCTCTTGGGTTTTATGCTAGTAACTTATAACTGGTATATCATTTCACTTATAACTAATATTCATCCCTTCCTCTCAAAAGTTGCATACACTGTTTTTTGCTTACATACATTCATAATAGGCAATTCTTTCGAGCTAGAATTAATTGTAGCTGATTTATATATTCAGAACATGAAATAGTATATACACATTTGCCAGAACTAGAACAGACCAGACCTAGGGGACAATACCCAGGCATGTTAATGGAGTGTAAAATACCAATGAAATCACACCACAATTCCAATTGGTATAATACAGGCTGTCATACTGAAATGTGAAGGCAGCCAGCTAGGAAGAGTGCAGCTACTCTCATTCTTGGGCCCTAGTTAATTAGGAAATTTCGACAGAGTGAAATCCGCAAAGCTCTTGGGTTTAGACTCTGAAGGGACCCTAACGAGCAAGAGGACATCCAAACCCACGTTACCAAACCTGGCCAAGGTTTGGTAATAGCCTCTTGGGGTCGTTTCACTGTCCACTCCTGGGAGAACCTGCCCCGCTTTGGTCATACCTGCTCCAGCCTGGAAGCTGTAAAGGGTTTTTCTTCCTATCACCACACAGGAGCTCAAGGAAATAGGAGCTGGGTAGTACTGGATTGAAAAATCGGAGTTGTTTTAGAAAGAGGAGAGAGAGAGAGAAGAGAGGAGAGATGGGGGAGGGAGGGAAAGAGTGCAGATATGTCTTCCCCTTGCCCCCTGAAATCGACCCTCTTTAGAATCTATGTGACCTGGTCTTGAACGAGAGACCACCTCATTTTCAAGACACTTTTGGCACGAATCAGTGATTCCCCCGCAGTCTTCATCTGATTTATTGCTTTGTGGCTCATTCTTTCTCATAAAGTTATTTCTTGTTTATCCTAGCCAGACTTTTTTTTTTTTTTATGACGGGAAAGATTCTGTTCTAGTGCTTCCCCTAGGGTTGGTCCTCCTTTCAGCGAATCCAGAAAAAAAAATAAGAAAGAAAGAAAAACATCCCATTGAATATTTCTCGAAAACCCTCGCAGCTCCAATTCAAATGCCAGCACCCAAAGGTGCCCATCCCTGCACCATCCGCCCCTCCCCTCCCTCGAGACCAGAAACAATTCCCAGTGTTTCTCTGGATGGAGCTAAGAAGTCTCTGGTTCGGGGCAGTGGGAGGCTAAGGGGCTGCAGAGTCGCACTGGGGTAGACTGGTCTGTGCAAGCAACTCTGCGCGTTCGGTTGTGGGATTAAGGGTTTGGGGCTGAGGGTCTGGACTTACCGGAGCAGTTCCAGCCGGTGGGGGTTTGGCAGTCACTTAAGGAGGTAGGGAAGGCGGCGAGCTTCACGGGGCGGACCACGATGAGCAGCATCACCGGCAGCAACAGCAGCCAGCAAAAGCCCTCGCAAAGTGTCCAGCCGCTGCACTGCCGCGGGGACTCCCACAGCACCATGACTAGTTCGCGCAACTCTGCAGCAGCACACCGCTTCGGAAGAACGCAGGATCGCGGGGGCCACGCAGCGGGCTACTGAGCATCCCGCGGACGGCGGCAGCAGGAGCGGCGGCGGCGGGGGCGGCAGGGACACCCGGAGGGGAAGCAGCAGCCAAACCCGCGCATGATCCCCCGAGTTTCAGCAACACGCAGTGACCCGGCTCAGCCCGGGGAGCGAGAGGGTCGGCGGCTGAGACGCTACTCCCGAGACGCGGAGAGCTCCTGCCATCGGGAGGCGTGTGTGTCCGGGGGGAGTGTTCGCGGACACCCCGGGGCAGAAGCCAGAAGCCGGGGGTGGAGTGGGGTGGAGAGGGAGGGCAGAGGAGAGGACTCGGAGGAAGCCGGGTGCAGGGACAGTCAGGGCGCCCCGCAGCCTCCCCGCCGCCTCTCGCGCTCTGCCTCCCGCATCCCTCTGGCGTTTGGGAAGCAGCAGGTCCTTAGCCCGCCCGGGGTCACGTGGGAAGCGGCAGTCGAGCGCTGATTGGCCGAGCGGGATGCAGGTCCCGGGAGGGAGGGGTCGGCGAGGAGGTGCCAGGAGGAGGCGGCCGCCGCGGCCACAGATGGGGCTAGCTCGCTAGGCTTCCAGACCGAATGGGTTGGGTGGGGATGGCTCAGGCGAGAAAGCCAAGGCTTCGGGGTAGGCGACCCCCCCCCTTGGTAGCCCTGGCTTTCATGGTCTGTTCCAGGACGCCCCCTACCGAGCCCCGGGGCTGCCAGACTTGGCACGGCTTCACTCTGGTGCGTGAACCCCGACCGCAAGCCTCCTCCGCGGCTGGGTGGCGGCGTGGTCCTCCGGCAGGAGACGGTGGGGGCGGAAGTGGGGGCAGAAAGGGAAACGGGGAAAAGCAAAGGTGTCCTGGCGGCGCCCGGTACAGGGCTGCTGGGGAGTGCAGTCGGGGAGTGCTTCGGAAGGCATGGAGCCCAGGGATGCCTGAGCAAGAGTAGAGGGAGCGAAGGAAGGGCTGAGAAGCGATCTTTGAGTGTGAGAACAGCTCCGGCCAGTTCGGACTCCCAGCCTTTCCCACCCGAGCCTGCGACCCGAGGCTGGCAGCCAAGCTAGCTCAGCCAGCCTTGCAGGGTGTCTCCTCTGCCTTTCCTCTTCCTCTCTTCTCCCTTCGTCTCCCGCAGCTCTAAACCAACCCTTGCAGCGGAAGGTTTGAGCTCCCCCCCACTCCTCCTTCCCTCCCCCAGCCCCCATCACATGCTCTTGTCCAGCCCCCAGAGCCTATTCGTGTGATCGCCTGGAAGGTGCGGCCAAATGTGCTCCTAAGGTCAGATTGGATCCAGATAAGTGATCTGAGAATCTGCGAAGGGCTCCCCTAAACTAAGCACTGGGCGGGTTGCAGAGCGCATCCTCTGGGAAGCCGTTTCTGGGAAGAGCGGGCTGTTTGGCAGCACCCGCAGTAACGCCGGGCGCTTTATGCAGTTCTCAGCCGGGTCGCCAATGACCTGGGCGAGGCGGGAAGGTCTAACTTGGCAGGAGTCCTTGGCTCTGCGCGTTTCTTTTCCTTCCTTTCGGTTTTCCTCCAAGGGGTAATGAGTAAAAGGCAAAGCAGGATCCGCCTTTCTCCTGCTGCATTCTTCACGCAGTTAGACACTCTTCAGCTTAATGGCATTTTAGTAACTAGGACCCAGATCTTTCTTGGACAAGGCCTCAGAGGAAAAGGAGTCTTTTTTTCCCCTTGCCTCGGGGTCCCTACTGCAGTCGCGGTGTTATGGATGCCCTACCAGGAAGAGTTTTCTTTTTTTGTGTGTGCGGTCGTTCAATGAATGATTAAGGACTGTTCTTCTTCCCTCTGCACCTGGCTTCCTCTCCGTTCCTCTCTCCTTCCCCCTCCCTCTTCTCTCTTTCCCTTCCCACTCTTTCAAGAGCCTTCATATCCTCTCCTTTCCTCTTTCTTTAAATCGTCCTTTTCTTTTCTCTCCTTCCATAGTCCCCTTAATTTAGATTAACAGCATTGTTTGATGGCGTCTAATAACCAATTAGCATCCATCCCCAAAACACTTATAAGAGGCATCAACGTACTTTGAAAACCTGGACTATCTATCCTCTGCAGACACCAACAGAAAGACAAATTCTGCCAGAGCTATGCTTTTGAGTACTTTAACCTCCTCCTGCTCCCTTGCCTTTTAACTTCTCCTTGGAGAGATGTGATCTGCAGCACCTCCATGCCTCAAAGAATTCTGTCCCCCACCCCCACCGAAACCCATGCCTTTATCTCCCATCACTGCGTCTGTCCACCCAAAGTCTAGCTTTCCCCTTCTGCCTACTCCAAAGATTTCTGAATCTCAGTGTCTCTCACTCCTGGCAATTAAGCAGCAGCAGATCTCCTACATTCAGTCACTGGATATCGCTTCTCACAGACTAAGACTCCATTAAAACAGATCAATTTGACCAGACGTTGGAGGCATCTGAAAATCGGCTTCTAGACAGAGCAGCTAGATTCTTCAAGGAAACGGAATGCCCAGTAGATAAAGCTGTCAAATCATATTGGTGGGGAGGGCGGGGGGAGAAAAGAATCATAGATGCTTTTCAGTAGAGATGGCAATGTAAATAAACAGAACCTTAATGAAGAGCAAGCTATGGCAACTCCATAGTATGGAGTGAAAACAGATCATTTTCCATACCAAGCTTGGTGTGGTAACTAATCAGGCTTATGAAAATAATCCATGCTTGAAACTAAAAGCAAAAGTCCTTAAAGTGTTTGTTCAGTAATTATGATAATGAAACGGGACCTGCTAGAATCTCCGGGCTTGGTTGTTTAAATGGAATTTTACAGAACCTCTTAGCAGAAGAAAACTGTTATTGAATTCTCTGCTAAGTAAAATTTTGGCATGCTTTCTAATAACATGTATTCTTCCTAAGACATTTTGCCCATAGTAACTTAAATTCCAAAGGAGTTAATTACTGGTTGTGACTGGTTAACAAATACAGGCGCTTCCACAGAGTTATTTAAATTATTGAACAGTTTGAAGCAAAGACTTTCCATTGGGAATGCTGTGATTTTGTTCCACTTACTATGTTCTTAGTGTTACAGTGCCACCAAGAAACAGATTCTGAAACTGGCAAGCACCACCAAGTGGCAGAAGAACATCATTCTCAGAACAGAGCATTGCATTGTTGAATATGTAAATAAAAATAGCTAGATTATTTAGCTTGTCATTAGGTACCAAGGAAATAGACAGGCATTAAATTTTAGTGCAGTGAAGATTGCATTAGTGTTTCAACTCTTCCCCAACAGGGTCAAATCAGTTTACTTCTCAGAATTCAATTTGAAACCAGCTCTGTGAATTGTACCTGGGATTGTACATTATATGACTGGTAGTAATATGATCCAATGATACTGTGCACCACATAATTCTTATTTTAAAATAATGAACATTATGAACTTTTAATATTCCTGAGCCAAAATATTTTAGTTATTGTATATTATTTCTAGAATTGGTGCAAAGGGGTAGGGTTATGTTATATTTTACAGTAAAACTTGCACAGAGTTCTTTTCTATCAGAAAATTTTACAAAGATTTGAGGAAATCTGCATCATAGGCCAGTGGTAGAGTGCTAGTCTAGTAGGCATGAGGTCATGGGTTCTAGTCCCAGTACCACAAAAAAATACAAAATTGTTTTTCATGTGAAAAAAACCTCATTATATTAAGAATGACAAGATTACTCCTCTGCACTTAATATGGGCTGGGAGGAAGAAAAGATATTTTAATATACCAGTAACTTAAATAAATGAACCTGAAAAAATAAGACAATGCCAATCAGTGCTCTATTTTCTGATCTCTGAAACTTTATTTGCTGCTTCAAATAAGGCAGAATGTTTCTAAGAGTGTCACACATTGTAACATGCACAAAAATATTTTTGTTTAATCTGTACGATGTCCTGATGGGACAAAAATACTGTTTTCCTGTTTTATAGCAATATGTCTTCCAAAGTGTCAAGCAAATTGAGATTCAATAAAATTGTGCATGACCTCAATTTACAGGGCCTAAGTCACCACTTTTTGCCTCTTTACCTCTGAGAAGGAAAACTGTGAATTGGAATATATGGATTCTCCTCATCATAATAATTTG